TCCTGCTGCTGCTGCTACTGCTACTACTACTGCTACTGCCACTGCCACTGCCACTGCCACTGGCACTGCTCCTGCTCCTGCTCCTGCTGCTAGTGCCACTGCTACTGCTACTGTTTCTACTACTGATTACTGGCTACTAGTATTAGTAGTAGTAGTAGTAGTAGTAGTAGTAGTAGTACTACTACTACTACTACCACTACTGGTACTACTACTACTACTACTACTACTACTACTACTACTACTACCTACTACTACTACTACTACTACTACTACTACTACTACCACTACAGTACTGCTACTACTACTACTACTACTACTACTACTGCTACTGCTACTGCTACTGCTACTGCTACTGCTACTGCTACTGCTACTGCTACCACTACCACTACTAGACTGCGACTACGGCTGCGACTGCATGTAACTCTTTTTTTGTTGCGACTACCACTAGCAGCATCCCGTGGCAGCCCCAACAACTTTGAATGGCTTAAAAATCTACCCTATTACCTATTGCAACTACCAGGGCCTTTACTCCAAAGCCTACAAACAACCACACAGAACCCCTTGATTCCAAACCGCCACGCCCTCAACACCAAACCCCATGAACGCAACCCCGCCCCCACATGCCCTAAACTTGAAAGGGCGTCCTTGCAAAACCCTTGACGCACTCCTTACTGTCGCATCCTGGCACCCTTACCCTAAACCCTAACCCTAGAACCTAAACCCCAGACCCNNCCCTAAACCCGAAACTCTAGAACCCTGAAGACCAAGCCTGGCTGCTCCAGGACTGGTGCTCAAGAGATGCTCAAAAGCATTTCAGAAGGTTTCGGCTTGTCAGTGAGGTTGGCCTGGTGACTTTATGCTTATCAAACTCAGGTTCAAGGTTTGCATTGAAGTTTTGGGGCTACAAAGAAGTATGGGGGCAGAGAACTAGTAAGTGAGACTGCATTTTTGTCTGGGCGTTTTGAGGGTCCGGCGGTTACGGGGATTGGGTGTACAGCTCCGGCTTTATAGGTTTAGGGGTTTTGATTAAGAAGTTCGATGTTTTTGCTTTTTTCTCGGAGGGATTTAATGCTTTGCGGTTTGGTGCAGACTGGATGAAGCAATTCCCAGCTGGATTTTGCTCGTAATTTGACCTTGAATTGATTGTAGCCGTCAACGCCAAGCCTTTGACCCCAGAACTGTAGCTCTTTTCTTTGGAATGACAACCCAGGCTTGAATACTCACAATGACGTCTCCGCTGCTAAACTCACAGTCCCACAACTTTCAACCTTAAGTGCTGCGTGCCCACGAGAGAACCGTCATGAAAAGGGTCTTTGGTCTTTGGTGCCTCATATCTCGCCTTACACCTCGGAGATATGTTTTCCGCTGGAGGGTAGTTTGGTGGCAGGAAAATTCGCAACCAAAAATCCTAGAGTCAGATAAACCCGGCTCTACACCCCTCAACCCCCCCCCCCCCCCCCATCTATATATATATATATATATATATATAGAACCCCTCAGCCCGAAACCCACAGCTTCTCGGCCTAGGACAACCGGAAGTGCTTGGTCAGCTGTGAAGCAGCCGCCGACTCAGCATCATCTAACTTATCAAAAGTTCGCTACATGAGTTTATTGACCGTCTTTTTGCGGTGTTAGAGTTTAGGGATTTTGGAGACTGGGGTTTAGCAGTTTGGGGCTTCGGATTTACAGATCGAGGCCCGATGTTTTCAGAATGCCCTCGTAATCCTTTTCGCGTTCATGTCAGGCTACTGGCGACTGCGATGTTGATAGGCCCTAACCCTGGTGGTCATGCGGTGATTAGCATGATCTTGATGTGGGCCCCGGCCGTCACACAGGAAATTCGGCAAGTTGCTTTCGACTTTAAATGCCGGTGCCCTGCCAGAGTAGTGCGAAGCATTATTCAGACCTCGCTCGCCAAAACGGAGCAACCAGTATCCGAGCTTTGTCCGGATCGACGCGAGAAGTTCGCATCGATTGTCCTCTGCGTGCTTCTATGAACTGTTGGCATTCGGGTGGGTTAGGAGCTCTACAGTACAGTCTACCAGTGGATGCTTTGGGGCCTGGGAAACTTCCACAACCTGTAACCCCACACCTCCAGACCCAACACCCCCAGACTCTGCAAGTCCGCAAGCAATGCACCCGGCACCCGTCATTCCTGAACCTGACACCCCAAATCTTTTTTTTGAGCGCTTGGCATCCTTGTAGCGCACAGAGATTTTTGGGGCTTTGCAATGAGTAACCGGCAGCGCAGGCTTTAGGTTTCCGTGGTGAGGTTCTGGTTCTGGGAGTTTCAGAAAAGCAGTTGGCTTACTATGGACCCATAGACCCCAAACGGCCCTAAACCCTCTGAATAGTAGGGCGCTTGCGTTCAGGATCCCTCAAACTCGAAAAACCTAAGTTCAATGGATTTCTCTTATGTTGTTTTTGTCATTCAAATTCCTTCTCTTTTGGGGTTGAGGCTAGAGATTTACATACGGGTTCTATTAGGTTTGGGGGGTTTAGGTTTGGGGCAGCTCACTTAACACCATTTGGGTCGTCGTGGGGTTGTTTTCTCTTGATTTCCATTTTCTCTTGCGTTGGTTTCTGGGCAAGATTGCACTCGCGGGAACCAGAAGTCAATGCCTCAAGCTGCTTGGAAGTTGAGACACGTGAGTTTCCCTGCGCTTCGCAAACACCTTACTCCTGCATGTCCAGGCAACAGCCTTACAAGCCCAGACCGGTAGCATAGTCTTACGATAAAAGCTATTTCGGGCATACCTGCAAGACACATCACCCACCCTCACTCAACAAGAACAGCCTCAGATACATAGACTACCTGGACCCCAAAGGACCTACCTTTTTAAAAACTCTTATGAAAGAAATCATGATAAGAAACCCTAAAACGGAAGGTTAAGGTAAAGCTTGACTGGACTGAGACCCTGAATTGTGGTTGTTATTGATAACCGCTTCTGTGGTCTGGGTCCTGTACTGACAAACAGCTCCGCATGAACGGAATGCCTCTTAAGGGTTCAGTAGAGTATCCCCTGACAGTCCTTGTACAGTTATAGCCGAACACACCCCATCAAAAATCCATGTTAATCAGTAAAGCCCAGTATAGACCTGAACCAAACCCCTAAACTCTATAACCCCCGAACCAGATCGTGTTCAGAGGTTTAGGCCGGCAGCGCTCTAATGAAGGCTGGCTTCTGCAGCTGCTGGGGAGGCGGCTCACTTGGCCCACGAGGCAGTTGTTGTGTGCAACGTGGGTTTGGCTTTTGGCCTGGTTTGTACTGTAGGGGTGCGGCTTAGAGTTGGGGGGTTTCGGGTGTGTCTTTTGCTTGATTTTATGGTTTGCAGCTCATGCAGGTCAGGGGTTTCGTCTTCAAGCGTAGTTCGCGTCAGCCCCCCTGCGGTAGCAGTGCCTTCTTCAGGAAGTACTCCGGTACCTGAGTTACCTGATATGTGCGGTGAGTTATATCTCCACATTGAAAACACCAGGCAATCGATGGCAAAAGGGTTCAAGGAGACTGCGGAGACCCCGTTAAGAAAGAAGCTTAATCATGCTCCAAACCCTGAACCCTGAATCCCGAACTCCCTAAACCCTACGCCCTAGTGAGTGCTGAAACCCTAAACCCTAAACCCCAAACCCTAAACCCTAAACCCTAAACCCCAAACCCTTGCGACGTGCGCTGAAGGGCCGTTAAGGCCGGAGGGCTGGCAGAGATTCAGATCGCAGGGGTCGCGGATGAAGTCTGAGAGTCGGTCTTCGTGAGGTCTAGGGTTTAGGGGTTTAGGGTTTAGAGGTTAAGGGTTTAGGGGTTTAGGGGCTTAGGGTTTAGAGGTTAAGGGTTTAGGAGTTTAGGGGTTTAGGGGTTTAGAGGTTAGGGGTTTAGGAGTCTAATTAGGGGTAAAGGGGTTTAGGGGTTTAGGGGTTCAGGGGTTTAGGGGTTCAGGGTTTAGGAGTTCAGGGCTTAGTGAGAATGCTCAGTAGTGCACTTCCAAGGAGGCTAAGATTTGTGTTTCGTTAGGCGTCTTGCTTGTTCAGAGAACCGCCTGATGCAACCAGGCGTGAACTCAGCAAGCCTGCGGAAATTAAAAAAGGGTTTAGGGTTTACCGTTGGGTCGTTTAGAAGCTCAGATGTTGGCTCTTTGAAGTTTAGGTTTAAAGGCGGCGGGCTGTGAGCGGTTCTGGCTCGCCATGCTCTCAAGCTGGGTTCATCGACACAAGTAAGGATGCACAATGCAAGCCCTAAGCCATGCTTAAGATGTCCGAAACGAATGCTTGAACTTGAACCTTATACACCCCACAGACCTCCTTGAGATTTGCGGCAAAGCAGCCTCAACCTAAACTCAGGTTCAAGGTTTGGGGTTTAGGGTCTAGGGTTCAAGGGTTGGGGTTCAGGGTTCCCTCGACCCAACCCTGAACCCCCAAAGCCATACAACTCCAAACTCTCCACCTCAAAAGCTTTCCCCATAGCCCACAGAACCACACATTCCGTGTACCAAAAAGGCCAACTCGTATAAGAACCTATAACACCCTCCGTAAGACTGTAATGAAGACACCGATAAGACCCTCGTATGGGATCCTCATGTTGACAAGCGCATGGCTCACTCTGGCTTGCTCCTCCCTTGCTGCGGCCGGCGAGGCTTTCGAAAGAGGCCTGTTGCAACATGTTTTGGGCGCATACAAGTTGAAAAAAACAAAACATTTTTTTGGAGATGTTCTAAATTATGGGGGCCTAAATGATGTTGTAGTTTCAATTCTGTGTGGGGTTTAAAGGAGCGTCAATCCTAATGCGAGTTTCGAGCCGTGGGGTTTAGAGTAGCACAGAGGGGTTTAGAGGGGTTCGCGGTTTTTAGGAGCTTGCAACCCTTCACCAGCCGACGACACTTGGGCTCAATAAATATGATTGCTTCAGAACAACCCTACATATCAAGATTTGTTCTCAAGGGTTGTTCTGCGGGGTTGTTATTGTTCTCAAACCCTAACCCCCCACGTACCTTTTTAGGGCCTTAGGGGCTCTAGTACCCTATATAGTAGGTACCTGGGGGTTAGGGAAGGCTGTATCAGCCATTGATGCTGCAAGCCGCCGTCAGGGAGCGCCTGTCAACTTGCGGAGCAAGAAAGGTCCACAGGGAACTTTCCGAAAATTTGGGTACCTTATTTTGGGGGTCATTATAAAAATTAATAAGCATCCTATTACTTAGGGTACTATATTAGGGTCGCCTATTTTCGGAAACCCCTATATCTGCAGCAATGTCGCTCCAAAGCACCCAGAACAACAACCCACAAAGGTCGTAGTGCTCAAGTCCGCACCTAAAGCTGGCCTAGGGTTCTAGACCCGGGAATCGAAACAGAAATAACTACGATTCACCGGAAGTCGAAATCCTGAAGCACTAAAGTTGCCGTGCTTACTAGGAAACTGAAATGCCTCTCAAAGACTCGCTTGCTGTGCGGGTCGGAGGCCAAAGAAACAGCAAAGCTCGAGTTACTGGGTTCCCGTTGAGGATTTTAGATTCAGTTATACCATAATTAATAGGGTTTTTTTGAATCCGAAGAACCCAGAGTTAGCCCTTGCCCCCTATACTCTTGAACCCACTGGCCCAAGAGCCCGTCCTACGCAGGGATCTTGGTGCTGACACTCTCACTGCCCGATGGCTTCGGCGACATCGCCTTTGGCCGCTGTGCAGTAGAGGCTCTCTGCTAAGCCGCGGGCACACCCAAATAGATGTCGTTTGGGGAACTTCTCCATTTTCCGTTTATGGTATGGAGGTACTTGTTCATAAACCTTTACTAGTACCCAGTTTACGGCACGGTTTACAGGGAGCAAGGATAGGTTTAAGTGAACGCCCAATGCTGCAGCAGCCAGGCCCTGTTCCACAGCTGAAATCACACCTAAAGAAACTGAGCGGAATGATGGAAGCCCGGCACTTGATCATTGAGCTCCAGAAACCCATGACAGGGAAACAAAAAGCCTGGCTAAAAGCCGCAACATGCCACTATAGAGACCTCGAGAGCTCCTAACGTGACTTCTTCAATCAGAAACATGGTACAAAACCCTAAACACGTATGGCCTGCCACAGAGATTTTTGCAGGAAGATCTTGCTTAAGTCGCCTGAACAGACCAACGTTTGGGTACTGTCAGCAACTGCTGCTTTAGGTATTAAGCTTTCCATGGAGCCCCGAGGCAAAAAAAAACGTGTCAAGCTTCCCTCATTGTAGCTCAGTGCATCTCACTGAAATCCGACTCAGAACCGAGCATCCTCATCTGGCTTCTCGGAGTTGTGAGAGCGTAAACCCTAAAGAATAGAGCCTGCATTGTCCGACTGTGAGAGCCGAAAGTCTATTCTTGAGGGTTTTGGGGTGCAGGGCTTAAGGAACGGATGCCTTGCTTTGCCAATCAAAGTCGGGGGCGGGCACATAACCTGGATCCCTAGCAGTGCCCGTTTTTGAAAGGGTTCGAATGAAAATACAGCGGTAGGAACGAGGGGTAAGGGTTTAGGGTTTGGGGGCATCGGGCCGGCAAGGCACCTGGAGCAACAGAAGGCTTTTGGGTGTAGGGTGATATCTGATGATTTAGGTTTAGGCGTCAGGGTTGCGGGCTTGGGGTGTGGAGGTTGATGGCTCTAGGGGTTTAGGGGTCAGGGTTCAGGCAGTTAGGGGTTCATAGATGAAGGGGTTTAGAGCCCCCGGTCCGGATGTCGAATCATCACGGCCCCAGATGTCAAGGTCGAAACTCTATATCCAACAATACCTTGACAACACCCCAGAAAGCCGTACAAACGCAGACCAAACTCAGGCAATGACCCGGGATTGTGAACCTACTTATGCAACCGGAGAACGAAGATTCGTCAGGAGCTGCGAGAAATTGCGCGGGTGACATGGGTGAGGCCTAGACAAATGACAGCAACGTGAGAGAAGCCTCCCAGCGGGCCCCGGATTCAGGGTTTGAGAATTCACTGGCCTCAATAATTACCTACATTATTTCGGGGGGCTCCTTATTATAGTATATTGAGCCCCCAAACCCTATTCTATTTATTTCGGGCCCCATATTACGTGCGAAGTTGGAAGTGGTTCAGGTCCTTTCAATGAACACGGCGGGGAGCTTTTGAAAGAAGGGTCCCTTGCTTTGCTCAGGGATCTGTATCGGAAGGATCCCGCTGTCTAGCCTCCGGTATCTTCAGCTTTCCGACGTTGCCACGCAAAACAGCATAGCATCCAGTCAGGCTGTAAAAGCTTCTCTTCTAGGGGCCATCCCGGAACACTTGGCCAATAAATTGTGCACATAAGCAGAGGTTAGGGTTTGGTGGTTTAGCTTGGGGGATCTAGGTTGGTTCAACTCCGTAACCTTCAGCCACATTTACCAAAGCTGCAAGCTTGAGAGAACCCTTTGCTGTAGGTTCGAAAGCGCCTCAGCCAAAAACCTCATGACCTCAAGCCCTAGCACCCAAACCAGGAGCACCAAGCCTTGCAAGTCCTGCACCCTAAACCCCTAAGCCCTTAGCCACACTAGTCAAAACGTAGGACTGCGCTCGAAAACCCCTTTGGCCGAGACTTCTACAGTGTTGCCTGCAGGGTCTACTCCTCCGGCTTCAGCAAGGACCTCGTGTGATGCTCTCGGGTTGAGCCATCTAGTTAGGCTTTAATAGGTTTCGGGGTGTGAGTCTACACTAAACCCTAGACCCTGCGATGGCTCGGGTTTGGATGCGGGCTGAAACAGCTGCAAAGAGTCTTGCCATGGCTTATTGTGATAGGGTTTAGGGCTAGGATTTAGGGTTTAGGATCTAGGTCGACCGAGCTTGCGGAGACGTGAGGCTGAGCGATTGAACGTTTGCCACGCGATGCAGATGATCAGGGGTCTACGATATGGTAGGAATAAAGGCCTTGACGACTTTCAGGACTTCGGGAGGTGTATAGCTGTAGCTGTGTTTCAGGTGAAGGGACTGATTGCGACTGGCCTTTCGCAGGAAACTGGCGAGAGGCTGGCAGGCCAAAGCGACGACTCCTTGACCTTCGAATCTCGGTCGGGGCTCTAGAAACTGGGAGTCCTTATAAACTCATCCTTGTAATCAGGTCCTAGTGTCTCAACGTTGCTACCATGGAGATTTCTGTGATTTAGGAGTTAATATAGAGGCCGAAATGATTACCCATATTATTTTAGGGGTTCCTGGGTTCCTTATTGTTATATATAAGTACAGCATAATCGGCCCCAGAACCCTATTCTAACTAAGGCCCCTACATTACCCCTTTCAAGGACGCCAGCGCTTGCCGAACCCGGGGTGCAAAAGCCTCCAGACAGTGGGGGCCCTTGAACATGTGAGTCCCAGCCACTACCCATAGGCCGCATAGTTGTTCCTTTTTGGGGTTCATATTTAGAATCCTATAAGGTACTCCCAAGAAGGAACTACTCTGGGGCCTATGAGTAGCCCCTAAACCCAAACGCTTACACAACGCTGCGAATGGTTTGGGGTTTATAGGGTTGAGTGAGCTTCAAGAGTACATACAAAACTGTCAGGTACCGGATATGAAGCAGGACCCGTGGCACAACGCAGCTTGATGTAGCTTCCCCGCACAGTTCGAGCCGTCTTGGCTCCCTGTAGTCTCCATAGTGCTTCCTGGTCTGATTAACCATTTTTACGGACTTCACGGTTAGGACCCCAAATATTTATAAAACTGGTTAACTGCAAGGGAGACTTTAGGTGTTCACGAGAAGACAAACCCAAACAGACGCACTCCCCCCAACCATCCCAGCTCCCAGTCGGACCCAGGCCCTGAAGCATGTGGGCCTTTACCGAAAACCCTAGACACTAAACCCGAAACCCTGAACCCTAAATCCTAGACCCTGCATTGCGGGCTTGTCNNGCGGGCTTGTCCTTGCTAGGTAGGAGACAAAAAAATCCTAGACCCGAAACCCTAGACCCTAGACCCGAAACCCTAAACCTTAAACCTTAAACCATAAACCAAAGGTCCTGGAGATCCCTCAGCCCTTGGGGATCCCGGGGGTGGAGTTGTTGGTCCGTGTGCACCAGTTGTATCCTCGTGTTTTGCGGTTTAGGGTTTAGGGTTTAGGAATTTGGTTGAGGGTTGTGGGTTTCGGAATTCGGTGCCCTCACTAGCGAAGTTTCGTTGCAATCAGAGCCCACTCATGCTAGACCCACGAGTCCAAAGCCACTGTAGTTTCCTGACACCTATGCCTATACCTTAAACCCTGCTCCATCCCAAACCTCAAGCCCTTTCATCCTAAGACCTAGTGTTAGGCCCTCCCGAGGACAGCTACGAGGCTTTCGACCAGCATCTCGCAGAAGGCACGGTGCCCGCACTTTGGGGTTTAGGGCTCAAGGTCAAGGGTGAAGATTTCAGTCAGGAATGGGACTTGCCTAACCCTCCCCAAAGTAGAAGTAGGTAAAATAATGGCCGAAGACCCATAAAAGGCTGTTGTTCTACATACTTTGGGGGTTCAGGCAGGGTTTACAGGGTTTATAGGATTCCGGGCTTCGGCTTGGTGCTTGAGATGATGGGCTTCAGGACTCTGGCGCTGCAGGGTGTAGGGTGTAAGGTCTTGGAGAGTTCAGCAGGGGAAAGCACAGGCATCTAAGATACCCCTACTACAGACGAGCCAAAGGCCCTATATATATATATATATATATATATATATTTGTTATTTTTCTTATTATCATCATTTTTGTTGTTAACATATCTACTGTTGTTGATATGTTTGTAGTATTATGGTATCTGTCATAGCCATTGGTACTAGTTTAAGCATCATACTTAAAGGACCCGGGGGCTTGGCAAACAGTCTTTATTCGTAGGAGATCCTTACGTAGCAGTAGCAGTTTTGTTTCCTATTTCTTGGCATACCCTGTACCTCCAGGTAGTCCTTAGGCTGCCAATGATACCGGTTTTTAGGGTTTAGGGTTAAAAAAGCGCGAAGCCCGCAACCCGAAACTCTTTGAACGACCTGGAGGACACCTCGACAAGATTTGGATCCGGGCTCATGAGATCTTCCTGGTGCCCTGGTGGCATCGGTCATCGGGGATGAGGCCTTCTCGGTTCTCTGAGCCTTAGGGTCTTAGTGCTTGTGAGGTTGTAGAGTCTTTGGGTTTGGGGTTTGGGAGGTCGGAGAGTCTTAGGGTTTTTGGATGTTGGGTCATGGCTTGGCGGCAAAACCTTCGACATATCCCGTTGCTTCAAGAATGCCCACATGGTCATGCTAGGATTCACATCCTCCCAGAGGTTGGGTTGAAGTTGGCGTCTCAATTTATACGGAGTCTGTTGTGGCATAAGAGGATCTTATGATCAGTCCTCCTATGTCTGTGCGAGAACCCGAAACCCTAAACCCTAAACCCTAATTAGGGTTCAGGGTTTAGGGTTCTGAGGCCCCGTGGATCTTTGGTCTCGGTGGAGATGGCATCCTGGCTCTTTCCAGCCGCCACCTGGCGGTGCTTGGCATCTTCCGTTTCAGTTAGGATTCCGGGTGGGGCTCAAGGTTTAGGGATCTGGGTTTATTGCTTTGGGTTTGGGGTTTGTGGTGGCACCTTCGTCGCCTAAGTCAGGACAAAGGTTTTAGGCTTTTGGGCTCAGGGAGTTTAGGGTTTGGTTAACTTGAAGCTTTGTTTCCCAGCGGAGGCGTTGCAGGCCGGATGCAAAACAGGGTTTTGTGTGCTTGAGCTGAGGGGCTTGGGGTTTCGCAATTAGGATTCCGTTGTTTGAATAACCAAGCATTAGAGTCATTAGAGGATTGATTCGATTTGCGTCTCAGGATTTAGCGGAGGTGGTGTGATGTCCGGTGTAGGCCGGACTCCCTTTTTGATTAGCGTCTGCGTCAAGACTACCAATACCAAGGACAGCATTGGAAGTTCCCAGCACACTGGCAGCTTCAGGTAGCATCTCGGAGCTTGTGACCTAGTTGTAGGAAGACTCCTCTAACACACCTTGAAGCCTCTATGGGTAAAGCTCCACGCAATCCTAACCCCCAAACCCTACAACCCTAAAGCCCGAAACCCTAAACCTCTAAACTCGAAAACCCTCAAGCCTTAAAGCACTAAACCCTACAACCCTAAAGCCCTATATCCTAAAACCCTCAAACCCTAAGCCCTACAGACCCAAACCCTCAAAGTCGCCCCGAAATCAAAGAGTTCCTAAGGCCTTCAGCGGCCCTTTTGGGCCCTGTCTGAGTATGGCCGCGGTATGGGCAATCTCCATGGAGCCTCCGCAAGATGGTTTTAGGGGTTTAGAGTTTAGGGTTTAGGGTTACGGGTATCCCGTACAGTAGCAATTTGCATTATTTGTCATGGTTGTCTTCTCTTTGGATCCTTGGCGGCTAGAAGCCGGGCAGCCCTGAACGAGTTGAGTTTAGACCGGTTTAGTAGGCCCAGTTTAGGATCCCAAGAAACGAGGGTTCGGCCGTGGCATCTTCTCTTGCATCACATGACGATCCAAAGTCCTGATCCTTTTCTTAGTGGGGGAGCTCCGGTATCTCTGGTGTCAATGAACCGAAACACCGGGGTGCACTTGCCATGCCTGACTTGCCTGGGCCGATCTGGACAGCTTGACGTAGTATTGTTTTCTGAGCAGGATCTCACAGGAACCCTAAACCCTAAACCCGAAACCTTAAACCTTGCAACTAAAAACCCTAATAACCCTAAACCCTAACCCCCAACCCTAGTAACCCTAAGCCCTAATGTGTAGTGGGAACTTGGAGAGGCCCTGGGTCCCAGGTAGCTTGCCTTGCCGCAGCT